ACAACTTGTAGCCAAATTCATCCCGACCAAAACCAATAAAGATGCATTGCCTTGTCTTCATATCCAACTTGGATCTTTCATCCTTCGAACATGAACAAATGCTTTACAACCGAAGACACGTAAATGATCATAAGTAACATTCTTGCCAAACCAAATCTTGTCCGGCACCTCGAGTTCAAAGCAACTGCAGGACTTAGATTAATAACATGCACTGCCGTAAACAATGCCTCACCCTGAAATGCTTAGGCAATTTTGCTTCGGAAAGCATACACCTAACTCTTTCAATCAATGTCCTGTTCATCCTCTCCGCTAAACCATTCAGCTGAGGAGTTTTAGGAGGAGTCTTCTCATGTGCAATACCATATTGTCTACAATAAGCATCAAATGGTCCACAATACTCACCACCATTGTCGGTACGAATGCGTTTCGACTTCTTGCTCGATCGCCTCTCAACCAAAACATGGAATTCTTTAAACTTGTCCAACACTTGGTCCTTTCTCTCGTAGTACATAAACCCAAAGCTTCCTGGAACAATCATCAATAAAGGTAACAAAGTAAAGTGCACCACTAAAAGACTTTACCTTCAATGGGCCACAAACATCGGAATGCACCAATTCAAGCAACTCGACTTCCTGGAGGGAGGATGCTTCTTGAAGGATACTCTGGTTTGTTTACCGACCATGCAATGAGAACATTTCTCCAAATCTACATTCTTCAATCCCGAGAGAACATCCTTTTTAAATAAGCGAGTTAAGCCCCTTTTCACCGATGTGCCCAAGCCTTCATGTGCCACAAAGATGACTCCATATACACGAATTCACACTATCTTTAGCAACCAAAGCTTTTGTCCAGATAAAGCTTAGAGTTTTTCTCCCCTTTAGCCACAATCAAGTTACCTTTGGTGAGCTTCCACTTTCCAGAACCAAAATGGTTATAATATCCACCATCATCAAGTACCTGCACAGAGATCAAGTTAAAGCGAACATCCGGAGCATGTTTAACTCCTCTAAGCAACAATCGCATCCCCATGTTGGTTTGCAAGTGAACATCACCAACACCAACAACTTTAGACACCCCATCATTACCCATCTTCAATACTCCAAAATCACCAGGTGTATAAGATGTGAAGAACTCCTTCCTGGATGTAACATGCGATGTAGCACCACTATCAATTATCCACATGCTCTCATCAGATACAAGACTAATAGTGTCATAATCACGAAGACAAACAAGGTCACCACATGTAGTAGTAGTAACACGATCACCATCATCATTATCTTTTTCTCTTTGCTTACCCTTTTTGTCTTTGCTCTCTTTCTTCCACAAAAAACAGTTTTTCTTTATATGTCCTGTTTTGTGACAATAGTGACACTCCACATTCTTGTACCGAGACTTGGACTTGCTCCTGCTTTTATCTCTACCACTTGTTTTGTTCTTTCTTTTGGTTTCTCCCCCTATTCTCTCGTAATAAGCACTTCGAATGAGATGAAGTACCCTGTGTCTTCCTTCTCATCTCCTCATTAAGAGCACCACTCTTTGCCATTTGCAAAGAAATATCACCATTAGGGGTAGCACTTATCATGGAAACCCGAAATGTCTCCCACGAATCCGGTAAAGAGTTTAATAGGAATAAGCCCAATAGATCATCATCAAATTTTATACCCACTCCAGCTAATTGATCATAGCGTCCTTGAAATTCACTCAAGTGATTTGAAACATGAGTTCCTTCCTTGTACTTCGACTCCACAAAATTTTTCAAGCAAGTACAATTTATTAGTCCCCGACTTAGAAGCATACAAGGACTCAAGCTTATCCCATAGGCTTCTCGCATGTGTCTCATTAGCAACAAAATTATAAACATTATCATCAACAAACTGCTCGATAAATCCACATACCTGTTGATGTTCAAAATCCCATTTTTCATCCGACTTGGATTCGGCTTATTGGAAGCAAAAACGAGGAAGATGCAAATTTTTCACAAATAACAAATCCTTCATCTTGCCTTTCCATAAGTGATAATTTTCTCCATTCAACGGAATCAATTTTGTATGTGCCTCCATCATTCACGCAAATTAAACGAGTCCCTTAACCTAAGAGCTCCGATACCACTCGATGGTATAAAAAAAGGCCAAAAAACAAATATAACAACTTGACAAAGAGTAATAATGCAGCGGAAATTCAATCCCCCTTCTTGCGAGAATCGACGAGGAGCACCAAACAAATAGAATCCAAAGCACAAAGAGACACCAACAATTTTAACGTGGAAAACCCCTCAATGCAAGGGTAAAAACCACGAGTCGTCCGGACCAAAGAAAAATCCACTATGATCAATAATGGGGTACACAAGAGTCTCCAATAATAATACCAAAAGGTATTTTCAATAAGCAGAATTAACTAAGCACAAATGCTTACAAAAGAGAAACAAAGAAGATGAAAAATCTCCAAAACAGGGCTGCTGGTGCGGGACCAATTTCTCCCAATCTAGACCTTCGATTGACGATCCGAACGGTCAGAATGAAGAACCATATGTCTGGAACCTACTATCCAAAAATCAGCTCGATCCAACGGTGAACGACTTCACAGCGACGAAAACACCAGTGCAGATTTAGGGTTATGCGGAGATGACTTTCTCTCTTTCTTTTTCTCTCACTAGACTTTTTGTCTTTTTTCAAATGACTCTCTTGTCCTCTACTAATCTGACCCATCTCATTTTACCCAAATGAGACATAATAGACCACACTATTTGGGCCTATTCTCCACATAGGAAGGGAGCCCAATAACCCAACAGTTTTGACGGTAGGTGAAACCCAAGATCAGGAGACACAAGTTTAATTATAAACCATAATAGTCAACCATACATTTGATGGCTATCATTGATATCTTAATTCTCTTTGTGACAGCTATGAAAATAAAACTTTGAATCACCATGAGACCACTCATTATTGGTTGCTAATAATGCTCATAAATGACTCTTACACCAGAATAGGAGTTAGACATATTATGAACAGAAATTGTCCATGAACTGGAAATTTTGAAAGAGAGCAAAATATGGAATGAATCAACTTCTTCTGTGGGGTCATTCCAGTTGGAAACTCATCTTTCCTTCTTCTTTTTTCTTCTTTTTTCTTCTGTTTTTTGTTCGTGACTTTCCCGTGTTACGTAGCCTCTTTGATAAATTAGCTTTACTTTTATTATTACACTAGAGATTATAGCATGGTAAAATGATATTAAAGTGCAAATTTCCCTGCCCTTTGAAAAGGTTAAAAAATGCATATGCCCACATGAACACACGTTTGAAAGTTTATCTGCATTTGTGGGCGGACCACAGAATTTCAGTGCCAAGTTCTTACTTGGTTGGATGAGAAAACGATAGCTTTGAGCCGTACAACCTCAAAAAGTGCATCTATTGACCTCTGATTTTTTATCTTTTAGAACGAAATATAAGACTTGTGTTGTGTTTCTCTCGTGTTGGATCAACTATGATAAATCACTAAACGTAATAAAGAAGGGTTACCATTTTGTTGGTTTGTTAGATAACCCATTCCAAGTAACTTTCCGTCAAGAAATTTTCATCTCTTCAAAATCAACATCCTTTTCTCTAAACTACTAATTGTCAATCACCACTTTTATTTTCGCTTCTAGAATTATTGACTGAATTAACACCAAACCCAACCGCCTCAACTATAAACCCTTTTGAGGAATGCTTGCAGCTGAGAGTGTGAAACAGCTCAGTCACGAAACAAAAAGCACTTCTTCTTTTCTTCTTCTCATTATAAATGGTTTCATCTTTTCCCGTACAAACGAGTTTTCACAAGGACGCTTCACGATGAAGCCTTTTGGCATTTCCAAATTCTCATCTTTTGGCATTTTCATCTTTTCCACATCCACTAGATTTAATAATATTGACAATTGGTGCTCTTCTCTTTATTGACATGCTTTTCTTGGTCTAGTATAAAGATATATACTATAATTACATGCTTTATACATGGCACAATCATTCAATACGAGACTATGAGCATTAGCACACCCTTAATCTATTGTATCTTGAACCGTTAATTATAACAAAGGAAGAGGTTTTGATTGGCGCGGTTGCTCAATAAGTCTTGGAACAAGCTTTTAAGCTATTCATAAAAAGACTTGGGTATCATCACAAAATTTTAACCATTCATTTTCATCAAAGTCTTAAGGATTCAAAATTATTGCGTAGTATGTACAGTCATGAAAATGGACCAATGTTCGAAATCCACATTTTTGACTTTGACCCAGCAAATTCGGATCTACTTAACCTACCTTATGGAGGTGTGTATGTGAATAACCTTAACAATAGTATGGTCCCTTCAACATGTTTATTATTTTAATTCTTTATGATTAATAGTACTCTTACAACGCCACATGATGCCTCTCGAGTGCGTCGGCGATGTTTGACTTTTCATGACGAAAACGCCCCTGGCATAATGCGCGTGCTTTGACTCTTTCAGAATGAAATAATAGGGGTGTTTTGGTCATCCCAGGAAGTTTACTAAAGTCATAGCGTTGCAACAAAATAAAATAAAAAACAAGACCCTTCTTTGCTTTCGAGCATTCACATATATGTTGTTCCAACGAGTGAGTGTGTGTGTGTGTGTTGAGTTTTGTAGGTCACTATCCTTCATTGAATATTGCCACCCCACCACCCTCATCCCTACAACCGTCATTCTAGGTCCCCTGATCCCATGCCAGACCCTACTCACAGCACTGATGTATCCACCCATCATTGACCATTTGATCACAATCAGACGGTAATTAGGCCATGCCCCACCACCCAAACTCACACGGAAACACCACAAGTTTTTCATAAATATCACCAGATTTAGTATGCACATGTTGGACCTAACCATGGCCATATAAATATATACACAACATAACAAGCCTAGCCTACACCAAATTCTGCATTTCCATCACTTTGTGTTTGTTTTTTCCTTGACCTTGTTGAACCAAAACAAAACCAAAGAACTACGAACATGAAGCACTGCCACTTGCTTCCCCTCCTCCTCATCACTCTTCTGTTCCTTGCCCCAAGAGTTCACTCCATCAGGACCAAATTTTCAGGCCCCTCCACTTCAAGCCATCAAGATTTTCATCCGTGGGGAAATCCTCCAATCAGCAGCAGAGACAGAGAGTTTATGTCAGAGAAACGCAGAGTGCCAACAGGATCCAACCCTTTGCACAACAAGAGATAGCTTGATCTCTCAGGTTTTGTGTAGCTGGATATATAGTGTAATCAGATATGGTTTCTTATTCACTACCTTCTTTGACATATACAGGGAATACAAATATATGTTATATGCTAGCAGAATTGAAGTTGCATTTTTAAGTCATGTTAGAAATAGCGATTGTTTATTAGCTAGATTAGTAGAGAGTCCTTGTACAGAAGGTAAAGAGGATTTTGAGCTTTAGAAGTATGAAACAATAAATTATAAACTAGAGTTTGTGTATGCAGTTTTATACATTTTCCTTCCCTTGAACAGACTTTCCTGTTTCATTGCAATTGAAGCCAATGGTTTTTTAAGATCGGAATTGTATGTTTTAGTTATTATACCATCATAGTTTAGCATCTTCTTCCATATCTCAACACCAAACTTGGGTCGCCATAGTTGACAAAGTTTTGAGGTTGCATTTGTTATGGTAGCTGTCGAGTACAAAATCTGAATTTTCATTTATCAAACCTTGGGATCCACAATCAGATATTTGCAAACATTTACTATTTTATTGGCACTCCTCCCAGCCTATGCCATCTCTTGAAAACAACTGTTGAGAAGAAGAATATAGCTAGAACACACTATTGGCTAACAGATTTTCTCAGATTTCGTGTTTTGTGTCAATTGAAGTTGTAACTGTACCAAATTAGCTTTGTTTCCGGGAGGAAGAAGATGGGGGGACCCTTAGAGTTTAGAGTTCAAATTATATGAAAATGAAATGGGATGAACTGACTCATCAGGGTGATCAAACAGTTCAGTCATTATACTTCCTCTGGTGTCATAGGCCCCAAACCTTGAATGCACTGTGTTAAATACCCATTACTTCACACAACAACCATGCAAATAATTAATAAAACTCCACCATCTTGCGCACACACAAGAATATTTGTTGGCAGAAGGTGCTAGACTCCACATGCTCTTAGTCTCACCCTACCTACATAACATTGAGGTCCCAGAACCTCTTGTACATTTATTTTTTCTACTTTTCCTTCCGATTTAATAAAAAGTTTAAGTGTAATTAGGAAAAAGAAAGGTACGAGAGTACTGTGTACAGTGTATGTATAATATCTCTCACTCGAGTTGCATATTTGCATGCACCCAAAATCCATAAGGAACTGGGAGTGATTTGGTTTTGGTGTGAAATTAAGGTGGAGTTTGTGGTCCACAGAGGGTGAAATAAGTGCACATACTAGTTCTGGTTACAGGAACCCCACCAAGGGCACCACCAGCTCCAGCTATAGCCTTTTTGGTGTGCGCGTGTAGATTTTTGAACACCATGGTTGAGAGAAATAATTGTGTAGTTGGAAAATAAATGAAAAGCAACATCATAAAATAATATTCTCCATCAGAGGTTGTGTTAATTGCCATTTGCCTAGCCACCACCACCATTTCAAGTGGAGGAATGTACACACGTATTTCTTTCTAAACATTTTTAACTGAACAAAAAAGTGAGATAATTAATTTATGTAAAATTAAAAAAATAAAAATTTAACTTGTAAAAAAACTCATTTCATTTTTTTTTAATTTTTCCTTTTCAAAAGTTAAGATACTATTTACTTTGATATCAAAATTATTTTAGAGATTTTATTTTTTTAAACATTTGAGTAGATTTAGGGAGAAAATATTTATAAAATACTTAATATGTGAGGGTAACTTTTGATATATTGAAATACGTCTCCAATCAAAATCAAAGAACAAAGAAAAAATAATTATGAATAATAAATATTTTTTCATTTTCTTTCTCATCTATTTTTTTTTGTTAATAAAAATCTCTAGGATATTATTGATCTGAAATAACATTTATGAAATGTATATTCGAGTTTTAGAATTTATAAAAAGAATAATAAAGTAGTAAATATAAAATAAGTTTTGGTTAAGCACAAAAAAAACGTATTATCGGTGATGATTGATTTAGCGACCATTTTTTACTACAATTTTCATAATTTTTAAAACGCCGTTTAGGCCATTGATTATTGGTCAATACAATTTTAAAAAGGTGGTAGAGTAAAATGATACTCAAACTGGCTAAAAATCATTAAAATATACCAAAATTAATAGGTGGTAAAAATCATGTATAAAGTTTATATATTTTCAATTATTTATTTTTCTGTATATTTTATTTATTTATTTTGTAAGCCATGTAATATGATTATCTAATCTTAGGTAAATTAATTTTCTCATAACCTCGCATTTGATTATTTCTTAATATAGTATTAGAATGTGAATTTATTTTTTATTGTTTGTTGGTGTAAAGATCATTACTTTGTGAAATTTAATGATTGTTTAGTTTTGTTTTTTTAATGACAAATTATATTTAGATTGAGATATTTAGAAGAAAAAAAACGCAGAGATGATTCTTAAAGTAATTAAGGATGAATGTGTAAGAAAGCATCATAATTTATAATTTGTGACCCGAATCATTCAACAATCTTGTGATAATTAATAGACTTTTTGTTTAATGAGCTATAAATGTGATCATTAAGAGCACATGCTGGGTACGGAATCTTGAATAGTCATTACTTTTGAATTGTTTGCATTAAATAGAATAAAAAATATTTAAAAAATTGATCAAGCTTTTTATGGTCAATAGATTTTATCATGGTTTTATTTGATGTAGATTGTGAAACTGACACTGATAACTTATCTGTAATCATCACATGATTAACAGAAATTTGATAAATTAATTCATAATCACCTATTGCTATTGTTTTCTCCAAGAGTCACGCCTAAACCATATTTAATCTAAATGGATTATTAGAAATCTTGATTAATTATTATTTTTAAATGAATTAACTACGTTGTTAATCAAATTTTTTAATGGATATTACCTATAAATGTATTTTGTTTCTAAGTAATATTTTTCTAAAGATTAGTTACAATTTGTCACTAATCAATATTTTTCTAAAGATTTAACAACGAATAATTTAATGAACAAATTTCGTAGCAAAGCAACTAAATAATTTTCTTATAAATTATTTTTAATTAATTTATCACTAATTATTTTTAATTAATTTTCAATGATTTAGGCATGACAAAGTTTTGTTGTTAATTAATTTTTTAATAACTTAATAATGATAAAATTTAGTCACTAGTTGATATTTTTAAAGATCCTGTAACAAAAAAAATTGTCATTAATTAATATTTTCAGATGGGTTAATTATGTCATTAACAAATATTTTCCAACTAATTAACTATTTACAAATTTTGTTATTAATTAATATTTTACAATAATTAATATTTTTAATGATTTAATAATAAACAAATTTTGTCTATAATTAGTTTATTTTTTAACAATTTGTTACATAATTAATATTTTGGTGACTAATTAATATTTTCTTATGGATTAGATACATGTAAAATTTTGTTAATTATTATTTGTTAGGTACGTGTAAAATTTTATTAATTATTATTTTTTTAGGTTGGATAATCTAACTTGATTTGTCTTTACTAAAAAAATTAATAGAGTAATTTTATATTTAAAAATAGATCATAATATAATTCAATTTTATGATAAGTCAATCGATTAATAGACAAAATATAACCTAATTACTGATAGACTAATTTGTTAAAAATGTTTGAATAAGAAAATAAAAATTATTTTTAAAAATTTAAATTATATTAATAAAAATAATATTTTTATATTAATATATAAATTATAAAATAAAATTCATTCATTCTTAAAATAATAAATAAAAAATTAATTTTATTATTATTTATTTTTTAATAATTTAATAATCTAAAATAATAATTAATAAGTGAAAATCATATACTTAGTTTCGTAACAATTAAATCTTTTATTAAATTAATTTATAATATATATATATATATATATTATAAAATAGTATTATTATTTTTATTTAAAAAATAATTATTATTCTATAAATAAGCCAACTCATAGATTTATAAACTAATTTAAGATTTACAATCTAATTTAAATTAAGTTTAGATAAATTATAAAATTGATTTAATTAAAATAATAAATATTTTAGTTTAATATAACATTTTCAAACAACTCTATCAAATTAAATCTATTTTAATGTGTATAATATTTTCTATCAATTTAGCAAAAACAAATATATTGTTATTTAGTTTTTTTTTCAATAATTTTGTAACAAATAAGTTTTGTGACTAATAAATATTTAAAAATAAATTAGTGATGAAAAGTTTCTGGTAAGCGGAGCCATGAGTTGTTTTTTATCTTTAAAAAAAATGATGTGACATCATTTTTAAGAATATTAAAAAAAATTAGTAAAAATTGTTTGAAAATAAAAATGAATATTAGCAATTTTTTATTTTAAGTAATTTTATCTAATTTTAAGTAAGTGAATGATAATAAAATATTTATTTTTATTTTTAAGCAATTTTTGTTAGTAACTTTTTCTCTAATTTTAAGTAACTGATTGATAATAAAATATTTATTTTTATTTTTAAGTAATTTTTGTTAACAACTCTTATTGAAAATTTATGGATAAATTTTAAAAAATTTATTTTCTCTCCTTATTTATTTTGATTTGTTTATTTCTATAAGTTATTTAATGAAACAATTATAAAAAAATTTAAATAATTATCATGTCACAATTCCTCAAATGAAAAATTAGTTTAAACAACTAATATTTTATTTAGACATCTCAATAAACAATTTCGCAAGGTGCGTAGTGTACAAATAGATTCTGTTTTGTATCCTGTGTGCAGTTTATTTGTAAAAGATTCAGTGCATCTTTTTGTTTTTTGTTCGGTGGCATATAGTACGTGGATGAATATTTTTTGCTGACTTGATGTTAATTTTATTATGCCTTCTTCTTTGGTGTCCTTTTTTTCTTATTTGGTGTGACCAATGGAGGAGTAATAAGCTATTCCAATACTTTGTTATTATTTGGGTTGCGATCATCTGATCCATTTTGTTGCACAAAAACTGTGTGGTCTTTGATCAAGGCGTTGTGAATCAGTTGAAGTTGCTTGACTTTATTCGTCTACATTCTATGAGAATGTCTTTTAGCCTTATAGATCGACATAATAATCATTGAATCTGTTTTATTTAGTGTGTTTCTTATGCATTTCGTTTTTTTAATGGTGTTTCTCTGTTTTGAACGGTAATCTATTTTTAGGTTTTGAATACCCATTTACTCAATTTAATTGATTTTATTTGCTTATGAAAAAAAAAATAAAGATGCTCTAATTATTTAATATTGCCTAATGATTTAGCTATAAATACATTTTGTTGCTAATTAATATTTTTCTAAATTTAATAGCAAACGAATTAGTATTTTTCAACAATTGAACTACAAACAATTTTTATTATTAATTAGTATTTTTAATGAATTAAATACAAAAAAAATCAATTATTAATTAAAATATATAATATGATAATTTTTGTCACTAGTTTTTTTTTTGTTATTAATTATAAGATGATTATTTTTCATTAAATTATGATAAAAATAAGATAAGATATGAGGTATATATATATATATATATATATATATATATATATATATATATATATATATATATATATATATAAACTTTACAAATTTACATTATAAATAGTTATTAAAATTGACAAATATTTTTATTAATAATTTTTATCTTCCATTTTGATGTCCCTGTTTATTTATGCTTGATATTTTAGTTGTAACATATATAATCAATAATAACAGGAAGTGAGAACGATTATCATTTAAAATAATATCATTCCATAATGATATACAAAATATACTTTTAGTTAAGAGAGTAAAGAGAATGAAAAGAAGATTTCTAATTTTGTGGGATGCTTACTCCACTCTATGATCTCATATATATATATATATATATATATATATATATATATATATATATATATATATATATATATATATATATATATATATATATATATGGATTACAACATTTAAAACAACAACCACTAACTACTAACAACCACCAACCACCAACTACTAACTACTAACCACTAACCACTAACTAATAATAATTCTAACATCGCCCCTCAAGTTGGAGCATACAAATTGTATGTATCAAGCTTGGAACAAATAAATTCAATTCGAGGTCCTCTTAAAGACTTTGTCAACACATCTGCAAGTTGATCATTGGACCGACAAATTCGAGTGCAAATTTCTTTAGACAACAATTTTTCACGAATAAAATGACAATCAAGTTCTATATGTTTGGTCCTTTCATGGAACACCGGATTAGAGGCAATGTGGAGAGGCTGTTTGATTGTCACAATACATCTTCATCTGTTGGATCTCACAAAATTTCAGTTCTTGAAGGAATTGTTTCACCCA